GTCGAGCTGTTGTTCACCATCTTAGCTACAGAGGGCAGCGTCACTGGCCCTCATGTGGGATCCGAGCCCAGGCCCTGCTGCTCAGAGCTGGCGTCCCAAGCCAACTCCTAACCTACATGCCATTCAGTCAGCCCTGTAGTATATATCTTTGTATGCAGAATATTTTATAATTGTATTTTTCTGTAATTTTGATTCCTAAAATGGAATTATTGACTCATGAGGTATAGGCATATTTTTTTTAGCATCTTGACGAATTGCTTTCAAAAGGGTTCATGTCATGTGAGACACATCCCTTGCTCTGGGCTGCTGCCAGAACTGGGTGGGTGACTCCGTCTTGAGGCTGCTTTGTTTTAAAGGTAATTTGGTACAGGACATGGTTATATTTCCTGCATTTGAACCTCAATAAGTGACTGCTTTGTGTGTACTTGAATTATTTGTGACCGGTCAGAGAAATAAGCAAATAATCAAAGATTCTTATTATTTATTCAGGTTTCAGAGCTCAGGAGGCATTGATCAGGATTTTAACGATGGCAGCAACACCACCTCGGCAAATCCTTATTACCCAGCTTCTGATCATCTTCACCCTGGAAATGAATCTATTTTTGACTTTTTGGAGTTACGTATGCTCCGAGTTAATGAAGGGAAAGTCTTAGAGGTGATTTGGGAATAAGAAGGTATATAGATTTTAGGTAATGAAGACTTTTTAAATAAATAAAATTGTTTATAAAATTATTTTGAATGTTACTGTAGCTATTATCCTCCTCCAGTCACTGACATTAATATTATTAACGTTTAAAGAATGAGCTAAAAGCTGCACAAAAAAATTCCTAAATGTTTACATCTCATTACCTCTCATTCCATGTTTTAAGAGAAATAGGAACAATTGGTTTCCTGATGTGCCTTTATATGTGAATACACCCACAAAATCCTACTAGTTGGTTTTTACGTAGCTACTGAGTCCTATTGATGTTTTGCTCATGTGTTTTTGACCCTAACATTATAGAATCAGTTTGTACCTGAGTATGGAAATTATTTTATAGACCTTGTTTTTATATTCGATTATACCTCTGTTGAGCCATATAGAAGTAATTGTGTGTAACCATTGGATACGCCGCCTGTAATTTCAGGCGTGATAAAGTTGAAAATGGGATATAAAAGAGAATGGAATTTTGAGAGTCGGAGTGGGGAGAAGGAAGGTTGCGTATGCTTTTTTGTATGAATCTTTTTTTTTTTTGTAACAGAAATGAACTCTTTTGGTATGACTAAACACAAATTCACACTGAATGAACTAACTCACTTATAATTTTGTGGTTTCTTTAATATTAATAAATGGGAATCGCCATTGTACTTTTTCTTTGGTATGTGAATCTGTTTGCAGGGCATTCTCTTTTAATATTAGAACTTCAGTCTTCAGTCGCTGTCATTCATTGTTCTTTCCCCTTTCTGATTGTCTAGCAGAGACACAACTGAGCTCCACACACATCACCTCCTGTCGTTGGCGGGGAGCAGGGGACATCAGGAGCCATCTGAGGCATGACCAGTGACTATGAGGAGGCCTCCAAGAGGCCAGCGAGAGCAGCTATTGCTTCCTCCTTTCCCTTCGCTGGGTTCTGGGACTAAAATTAACCGCCATTTCCAGCGCCCTCTGAGGGAAAAGTGTTAAATGTGCTAGGTCCTTGGGTAAATTTTGGAAATGAGGAGATTGAAAAATCATGCTCACAAAAAGACAAACTTTGCAGGACAAAGTGTGATTTCGAATTAGAAATCAGGCAGTGAGCAGATCCCAGCCTTGGGGATAGCGGGGAGCGAAGTCAACCATGAACATAAAGAAGCAAAGATTTCTCTTTACATTTCTGAAGAGAAATTAGGGAGAGAGGGAGAAGCAGAAATACACAAAATTTAGTGCCCTTGAGTTGTCTTTTCTTTGGACCATATGGAGCTCACGTCCTGCATTGTTCTGAGGTGTGTTGCTCTTTATCACACCCCCCACACACACACCCCATCCCATGGCACAAATCACCATCAATCAACCCTTCTTCCGGGGGACTAATCCAAGCCTCTTCTCCCTCCAACTCATTGCTGGACGAGCTGAGCTCATGGATGGACCCCAATAGCTAAAGCAATGCAGACATGTGTGTTCTGAACACAGTTCTTGGATTTCCCAGGATTGGGGGAGGAGAGAGTGACCTGAGGTTGGAAACACGAAAAGGACAGGTATAGTCTGTTTCTTTAGAATCCCACTGGCCCCAAGCTCCCTCGCTCATGCAAGGCAGGCAGGGAGGGCGAAGGAAGGCAGCTGGACACTCTGTGCAGGCCCCGTGGTGCCCACCTGCTCCCCGCTTATCCACAAGGCACGGATCTGCCCGCCGCCTGATTTCTAATTTGAAATCACACTTTGCCCTGCAAAGTTTACCTTTTTGTGTGTTTTAGGTTAAACCAACAACCCACAAATACGTAAATAAATAAACTGGTCATTTGTAGCCATTGTGGAATACTCATGGCCTTGCAGCTGCAGGCGACAGGAGCTGGAGGCAGCTTGAGAAGGCGGTGTGGGAAATGAGCCAGCAGCTCCCAAGGCCCACCCCTCTGGAGAAGGACGCGGTGCTCTAATAGGCCTGGAAGGGGTTCTGCAGCTGCCCTGGGCTCCAGGCCAAGGGTCACAGCAAAACCAGCAGCCCCCAGAGGCTGGCCTGTGACAGCAGTGGTTCAGCCCCAGCTCCCGCGGCGCCTGCATGGTTACTGGGCCATGGGCGCGCAGGTTCATCGGTGCTGGCCCACCTTGGCCTCCCCGTGCAGCCCCAGCCTGCCTGGATCTGGTGGAGTGGACACGCTGGGACCGGCCGCGGTGACACTGGGAACAGTCGGACGGTGCCGGCAGCTGCAGCAGGTGGGCACTGTGTTTCAGCTCTGGATCTACGCGGCCAAGTCCTGCAAAGGGGTGCTGGTGAGCAAGGCCCAGTGCACGGCCATGGGGCTGCGCAGCGGCTACCTGCGGGACAGGTATGGCGAGCTGGGGCTGGGGACAGCACGGGACCTGCTGGGGACGGGGATGCAATGGGGGAGGTCTGCAGAGTCCGCCAACAGGTTCTTCCTCTCTTTACAAAAAGATCAGGGGCCAGAGGGGGCACGGGCAAGGAAAGCGTAAAGGAGGGCATCATCTCCCAACAGCAGACCCGAAGGCCTGGGCGCTGGGCCTCTGGGACCACACCTGCTTTTCCAGATGGCTATCTTTCCACCTCCCACGGGCCCTTGCATATCTTGCGCCCCTGCTGAGGTGTGGCACCAGTCCCCAGGTGTCTGTCTGCGCTCCAGCAGACTTCAACTCCATCTAGTGGAAGCGGTGAGCAGGAAGTGGGTTCTGCCTCTTTATTTTTAGACACTGTCTCCTTGGGGCAACTTAAAACCAGGGAGCCCAGTCCTCAAAGAGCGCACAATCATAAGGGCAGCAGTTGATGCTTAAGTTTCTTGCAGCTTAAAAAGCGCTGTAGATGACTCTCCCTAATTCTCTTAAGCACACTTTTATGGATAAAGCAACTGAGGTTCAAGGCCACACGTGGAAAACAGGACTCTTGTTTTCTTTGTAAAACAGCAGTTTCATTAATGTGCTACCTGGGCAGGCACCATCTGTGAATTCCTGGGGTTCAGGGCAGGTAGCAAAGGCCCAGCGGAGTGGCTTCAGGCCAACCCTAGGCTTGTGAGGCTGCACCTCAAACTCCTTCCTCCCAGACCAACCCTCACAGCTTCTGCGGGAGATACACAGGACTGATGGGGGTTGTAACTTTTCCTACTTCCAGCTCCCCAGATGGAGGGCAATTCATGGCACAGCTGAAAGGTGAGCTATGCATCTGTGCTTCAGGAAGGAAGTCAAGAGTCCTAGCTATTCCATGGCTTGGACAGCAGACTCTCAAGCATGGTAAAATTTGTTTTTGTAGGCCCAGGGCCAAAGAGCATGGTAATTTTATGGTATCAATTCAAAAACCATGTATTGAGCTCATGTTACAATGGGCAATAATAAGACCTGGCATTTGTACCAGACACCATGGTACATTCTTTATGTTTGTCATCATGATACCAGAAAGTGTGACCAAGAGATGCCAACAAAGACATCCAGCCTTATGTGATAACTGACTCAATGTGACAAGTGCCAGGGAGCACAGAAAAAGCAGCACCAGACACCGTTAGAGATGGTCAGGGATGACTTCATAGCTTGACCTGAAAATTTAAAAATGATTATGAGCTTTGCAGGCCAGCAAGTTGGTAGACAAACATTCTAGAGAGAGGGAATAAACTGGGTAAAGGCAGCTTAAGAGGGCAGGTATGTTGGGGGAAAACGCTGGTACACTTTTAAATATTTACCAAAAGGAATTTAAAACAGGGATTGAACAAACACTTGTACACCAGTTAGTCAAACGCTTGACTAACACTTGCAGCGTTAGTCGCAGAAGCAGCCCAGATGTCCATCAACGGATGAATGGATAAGCAACATGTGGCATATACATGCAGTGGAATATTATTCAGCCATAAAAAGGAATGAAGTTCTTACAAGCTACAGCATAAATAAATCTAGGAAACATTACATCAAGTGAAGTAAGCCATGATTCCAATGATATGAAATGTCCAGAATAGATAAATCATAGAGACAGGAGGTGAGTTAGAAGTTGCCAGGGGCTGGGGGTGGGGTGGTGGCGGGAGAGGGGAGGTATTGCTTAATGGGTACAGAGTTTCTGTTTAGGGTGGTGAAATGGTTTTGGAACTAGATTGTAGTGATGGTTGCACAATATTGTGAATGTCCTTAATGTCACTGAATCGTGCACTTAAAAATGGTTGGAATGACATCTTTTAAAAAATTCATTCTCTTTTGGTGGGCACTTGGGTTGTTTGCACCCTTTGGCCTTGTGAATAGCGCTGCTGGGAGCAGGGATGTACAAGCATCTTCCTGGGTGCCTGTTTCAAACAGGGTATAGACCTAAGAGTGTGCCAGGTGTTTTATGCCACCAATATTGTACCAATAAATTTAAATTAAAAAAAAATAATAAGAAAGGCTGGCCTGTGTGAGAGCACAGGGGGCGACAACGGCTAGATGAGCAGCTGGATTATAAGGGGCCTTGGCTGCCCTGCTGAAGAGTTAGCATTTTATCCTGAAGGCATGGAGGGACTTTGCATGAGGGGGTAACATGATCAGATTTGTGTTCTAGAAAGATCAGACTACCACTGTGACTAGGAAGGATTACTGGAAAGAATGTTCATGGGCCGCTACCAAGGATTTGGCACTGGGCAGAGCTCTGCCCTTGGCCAGGATGAAGGGCTGATAATAGAGAAGTTAAGGAAAAAGCTTACATTAGCCTCATTTTTCCAGTGTAGCTAGACACCTCAACCATGATGACCTGCTGGAGGTGATGACCCAAAGTACCTGCCATCTTTTTTTCTCATGTCTATGGATGCCAGAAACACAAGCTCACTTCTATGATGGTTATCGTTCAATCCAATGTGAATCGAAATGACCAAAATGTCAATATGCTTAGCTTCCTCGGTAGCTGAGCTGTAACCTCCACAATTACATTGTTCTTTTTCTAGAAACGGTTCTTTCTATTAGTCTTATTTCCATCCCCCCACACCTTAAAGTATCACTAGACCAGGAGCACCGGCCCAGAAAAAATATTGTTATTAACAATAAACCTCTCTGTAAACTCAGTAAATTGCAGAATTCACAGTTGTGAATATTGAAGCATTGATTTTTCTTTTTAAAGAGGACGGTGGATTTGGCAAGGTGTACATGACATTGTAGGCTGCTCTGCAAACTCAGTAAATTTCAGAATTCACAGTTGTGAATATTGAAGCATTGATTTTTCTTTTTAAAGAGGACGGTGGATTTGGCAAGGTGTACATGACATTGTAGGCTGCTCAGCTTAACTCCAAGCTCTGCAAACAATACAGCAACAGTCTATTATTTCACTCAGTAGGAGCCCAAGGACTACTCTGTGCCAGACACTGTGCTTCCTCAGGCCATAATATCTTTCTAGGAGCTAGGTTCTTTTCATCTCCTTGGGGCATGTTCAATGAAAGCGATGAGACTTCTGGCCTTTGAGATGAAAATAGAATGAAAATCTTTGATTTCTGTGCCATCAGGGAGCTCAAAATGTTCTGCAGAGCTTATGTCAGATGCTTGAGTGTTTATTAAGCCCTTTGGAGGGAGCTGACAGACTCTGTCTTGCTGTGTGCCAAGTATGTTCTGGATAGACATACACACACAAAGTCACGCACACCAGGCTTACAAGCAGGACATGAAACATGACCGTGCATCGCTGAAGGCCCTATAGATACTGGCTGCCCATCATGACGGTCCATGTATATCGTGTGTTTTGAAAATGACAGGTTTTGGCTTGTGATCAATGAGAAGGGGAACATGGTTACTGCTCACCAGGAACCTCGCGAGGTCCTGATTTCCCTGACCTGTGAGTGTGACGCCCTGACCCTCGGTGCAGCCTACATGAAAGACCTGTTGCTTCCCATCGAGACTCCCACCACAAATGCAGTGTTCAAGCGCAGGTAAGGAAAAGGTGGATCTCGGCCCTGGCCTGAGGGTTTAGTCATGCAGTTTTGAGAAAGTGCTAACTGTGGAGGGAATCCTAAGAAAGATGACCAATAATCAACCATGGATGGCAAGTGCTATATGTGGGGTCAAGTCCTCAAAATCATGACCATCTAAAAAAAAGAGGAACAAGGAAGCAGCTTCAGAAACATATGTTGACATGGGGTTGACAGACATTAAAAGTCCTATGCAGAAAATCCTGGGGACAGAAACATATTGACACATTCATCAAGAGGCAAATAACGCAGCAAAGGATAAGAGGACCAAAATGGGGTGGGAGTGACTGGGAGAGTGTTGTGGGAGAGGTGAGATTAGATCGATATACGACCGTAGGACTTGCCCTATTTTGCCTGGAAAGACTGGGAACCTTCCAAATCTGAGAAAGGAGGCGCAAATGGCTATGGGACTCATAGTGTTTAGGCCTCATGAAAGGCAGTTCCAAAATAGGAATGGACAGCTGCGACCAGAAGAGTGATCAGACCTGCAGTTGCCCAGGTGAGAGCTGCCCTCTCTCCTATGGTTTATTGCAATAGCCTCTCTTCACTGGCCTCCCTGTTTCTACCCTGGACCAAGCCCACCATCATACATGGTCTATTCTCAACATATCGATCAAAGTAACCCTGTATATGTAAGTCACAGCATGTCATTCTCCTCAAAATCCTCTCAAGGTTCTCCCGTCTCTCTTCGAGTAAAAAGTAAGGTCTTTATGTTGACTGTCGAAGCCCTGCGTGATCCTGTACCCTGCTAGCTGCGGGGCTCCACTTCCTGTCACCCTCACCTTCTTTCTCCCCTCCTTCCCACCCCAGGACCTTTGCACTTGCTGATGCCTCTGCCTGGCACCCCTCCCTCTCATCCCTGTATGGCTCACTCGCTTACCTCTTTCTCTTCCCTGCTGGTCACCTCAAATCTTGCCCCTCACCACACTTGGAAACCCCTGGCCATCTTTAAAAGCCCAGATAAAAATCCATCTCCCCTGAAAAGTCAGCTCTGATCACCAGACCCAGAAGAGCTGTCTCCCTTCTCTAAAGCAACACTGTGCCGTGTCTGCCTCTCCCATATTCAGATTGTCCTGTTTAAAATCTTACCACCTCCAGGGAATGTGTTCTGGTTGGAAGACTTTCATGGGTTCTTCTCCAGTGCTTTTAACACAGTTCTGGGCTCATAGTGTGTGTTTAACATGTAACAGTTTCTCCTTTCCTTCCCTTTTGCCAAATAGATACTCTCCTTATGGTGGCATTTTTACCTTATTTATCGGTGACTTCATCCTTAACAGTTTTTGTTGCACATAAAAGGGGCTCTGAAAATATTTCTTTAATTAACACTAAATTAATTTCCTAACGGGAACCCTCATTTCTCTCCTCTTGGATTTTTATGGGTTGTTGGGTTTTTTGTGTGTGACCACAGTGTCCCCTGGTGGCGAAATTTACACAGAACCGGCTGGGGCTGCTCTAAACCTAGATGCCCAGCTTTCTGAATCCTCATGAAATATGCCTCCACGAGACCCATTTCATGATTAAAAAAAAAAAAAAAAAGATCTGTAATACATATTTCAAGCATCACACACACTGTTAAAGTTAAAATTCTGAGACTGGCACTCATGTCTGGCTGTGATCAACCAAGGACTGGGCAGGTTCATTTTAGCTCATGGGTTTTTGAGGGTAAATTCAGGACTACAATCAGATGTCCTTGTCTCCTCAGTGCCATTCCTTCTAATGATCGCCCGGAGTCCTCTGGCCTCCTTTTGTGCCTCTCCAAATCTCTGCCCTGGAAGACGCAGTTCAGACCCCACCTTCCCCATAAATCTTGCCCATAAACCTGACCAGAGCCGCCTGAAGGTTTCTTCTCCAAATGGCCAGAAGGACTCTTGCCTGCACAGATAAGCCAGCACATATGCGTATGGTTTGCTACCGTCTAAGGTCCTCTTCTCAGTTTTTCTGGGCCTTTGTAAAAGAACATTGATCACTAATGTTCAGGATATATGTATGTCCTGTCTCCCCAGATGGGTTTGCAGGACGCAGTCCATTGATTTGATTTGTCCTGAAAGTAGGCTCCAGGGACGCCCTGCCACAGGCAGGTGCCCAAGGAGCTTCCTGGGATCCAGGGGAGATGCAAAGAGAAATGAGGCTGTTGGTCCTGCTCTCGACTTGTTCATACGCAGCAGGGGAGATACAAGACTCACACATGTAATGGTGTAAAGATCTTAACCCACCTTAGTCATTCACAAAGGGATCTGACACAGCCTCTCCATACCCGCTCCTCTCTTTCCCCTACTCCTTCGGCACCCTTGTTTCCCCGCCCCCCTTGAGTCAAGCAGGATCAGTCAGGAAGGCTTCCTGAAGGAGGTGAGTTTCAGCCACAATTCGACAAGTGAGGGGACACGGGGGCATTTCATTACAAGGGAATGAACTGATACACCAAAGACAGAGAGAGGGAACAGGGAGGTGTGTGGTTTCTCAGGACGGATGTCAAGTCTGTCACCTTTGACATAAGTGGCTTTGTGAGGTGTCAACTCATGAGAAGTCCCTGCACAGGTATGTTAGGGCGAGAGCTCAGAAGTGCTCATGTGAATTTGGGGCTTTGTCCCTTAGGATTCGTGGAATGACCTTCTTATTCATGACGTGGAACTAAAAAGGGTGATGGCTTGTTCCAGGTCAGGCACTTCTGCTGCTGCTGGGATGGCGTGGGGCGGGGGACGTGGGGGTGGGAGGCACGGTCAGTCTGCTTTGTCCCTTGTATGATGCTCTGTGTGTGTGTCCGGGTGCATTTTAACCACGATGGACCCAGACACCAGCGTCATGAGCAGAAAGGGGCCTCTGGAGACCCTGAAGGGGTAGGGTAGGCAATTTATTATCTCTGTGAGGGAGCAGTGAAAACACCACGCACATTCGGTCCTTGTGACTGTGTCACCTGGGGAACGTTCCTGGGTGCTTTGGTTCCCAGAATGCCTGCTCGCACAAATAATTTTATTTTTCATTTAGAATTCATGATTCAAACAAACCAATTTAAGCAAAACAAAACATTGTTTAGGTATTTGGGCAAATTATATTATGGACTGAGTATTAGATGATACCAGAATTTTATTAGGTGTGATAATGGCATTATAGCAATACAAGAAATGTCCATCTATTTTGGAAAAGGGTGTTCAAGTAAAGAGGAGAAGTGGCATGATGTCTGGAATGTGTTTATAGAGTAACTTTAGCCCAAAACAAAAAAAGACACATGAAAAAAAATGTGTTTAAAATCTTGGTAAATAGAATCTGGGTGATAATTATGTGGGAATCCTTTGCACTATTCTTTCTTTTGTGTTTACTTTAACATTTTCATGATAAAAAAATTTTAAGTGAAAGACACAATTACGAAGAATAAATTGCATGGGAAGATAGTTAAGATAGCATCCATTGTAAAAAGTGGATTACAAAAATAACAAATGCAGAATTTACTTTATTGTTTTTGTTTACTTGATTTTACTTTGTAAAATACATAAATGCACATAAATAGATAAAAGACTGGACGCCAATAAACCAAAACGTTAATGGAGATGCTCTTTAGGTAATGAAATTATAAGAAAAAATACATATATTTACATATTTATATTTATATTTATTCTGTAAGATTTCCGTAACCAACCTGCATTTTGCTAGAACAACAGTTCAGCATCCACACACCTCAGGGCTGTTATCTGCCAAATGTGGGACTAAGAATCTACTGAAACTCTGAAAGTGAACTAATGATGCTTGTCTTCATTGGCTCCCTCCACGCTGAATACAGGGTCACAGGTAGGGTGTCAGGTCACATCGCTGCAGCCCGTGAGACTGTCAGCCTTGACCCTGACCTGTGTCCC